ACTAACACCATATGTAGAACGTGTGCAACACAATTGCACAACTATTGCGTGTGTGACTTCTATTAAATGTACACTTTTCCCTCTCCTATACAAACATATTATGGGACCCAAACTCACGAATATATCGCATTAAAACAAAGCGTAAAAAATATTATTCTTTGGCATAAACCAATGAAGTAAAATATCAAAAAAATGTGGCCAGGTACATCCTTTAAAAGTGTGATTTTTTCATAAGCTAGTTCTAGCCACACATGTTATACCTTCTGTACATGTGAACAATACTTTGCTATGCCAAGAACACTTAATCACAGTCAGGATCTTTTTCCTATTACCTTCATTTTGCAGTAAAGTGATATAAAAATTGTTAAATAGCATGTGGTACCAGAAAGGTGGTAATACTTGGTGCTTTTACTTACAATACTGAGGTTGTTGGCCAGGGCTTAATGTGTGTATAGAAATTATCTTGCAGTCTTCAAAAGGGATCCACACATTTGGAGTACTAGATTCAGCAACATCAACTGATGCAATGACAGAACCATTTGTCCAATATATCATACTTTCATCCTGCGTGATACTGGTTACCATCATATCTGAAAAACATTCATGGAGTACTATTACACAGAGCTACAATTATTTGTAATTCATTATGAACAGGCTGATGCTGGAGATGTGCATACATTACAAGGGGTTCTTGCTCTCCCACATGCAAGTCAGCCATCTTGTATTATTAAAGGGAATATGGCAGTGTAGGGCTAAATTTAGAAATGTTACTGAAAACAGAACTAAATTGCAGTCTTTCACTGTACCCCTATTGTTTTGTTCTATCTTTCTAAATTTAGCCCATATATACTGCCACATTCCCTTTAACCACAGGTCTATTTACTAGAACGGATGCAACATACTCTTAGCAAACAAAATGACCGTTGAACCACCGTACGTGATGTTTGCACCTGCCCACTGTCATAGTGCATGGTTGGTCAGTCACTACAATGGAAAATGGCGCAATTCAGACAACTATATATATATGTAGGCTCGGTTTGCTCACAAAATGTAGTCTAGTTGCCTTAATCCTTACATACCTGTATTGACCACCTCTTCACAAGCTCCACTACTCCATGGACATCTGAGTATTTTCCCATTGGTTTTGTTTGAAACCCAGAGATCCCCAGTGTGTGGTTCAAGAGTAAGAGCTGACACAGTAAGGTTAGAGAGATTGACAGTCTCCTGTTGTTGTACATCGCTACCCAGGTGTAGCAATTCTAGGGACACATTTCCATCATTATTCTCTTGGAGCCAGTATGCTCTCCTGGAATAAAAAAGGTACAATGACTCGATACTGCCCATGGATAATATGTACTACTTTCCATGGCAGGGAAATCAGAATGACAACACTGACAACATATATACTAGTGAATAGCTTTTACCTACCAAGCCACACATATTATACTAAAGACAAGAGTGTCCAAAATACAGCGAAGATATGATAACCATGGCTACTAAGAAGGCAAAGAACAGAAAATTATCTCTCTGAATAGCATCTGTTGCATAATGCTTACCCCCTTCGAAAGGAGTCCACAACCAAATTGGTCAAAGACTTCACAGGATCGAGGATTGTGTGCACTCTTTCAATATTTTTCGAATACACCACCGGTACCCGCCACAATTCAAACAGGTTGGTAGTTAAATTCTCTCCAGCCATATAGAGTCTCTCTCCTTGCCACTCAAACGCCATTGTGGACACATTGATTGGAGTGTCTTTCAGAAAAACCTACATAAAAAGTAATACTAGATTGAGGCAGCAAAAGATACTCGGGTTTCTGTTTAACCTCCACATGTTTGCACCAATGGGAGTAGGCACAGCTGAAAACTAGACAACACGCGTGGCAATAGACATAAGTGCATGTTTGGCCAGCCCTTATCTCTGCACTCACATGAACAGAGCAGGCATGAGGTCATTTTTAAGCAAGCTAGATTCAAACTCAGCCAAATTACAATACCCCACTTCTAGAGAGAGTCGAGATGTGTAGCTCAATATAATATGATACTGGACTGGAGTGTCCAAAATAAACGGTGAATGGGCTATACCCAAGTGCATTGTGAGCAGTCATCAAACAAAACACAATCCTTCTGGGAATTTTTTCCTTCCCCTCTCCCTGGCACCCTATCATAAACTTACAGATATTGTATCTCCATCCAGTGATTGCATCAATATAGAGTTTATGGTACTGTTGTACCAGTACATAAGTCGCGAGATGGTATTCACAGAGACTGGGTGAACAGCCACATACGTTGCTCCTACTCCAGAGCCTCCATATAGAAATGACTGACCACTGGTTACTGCCAACAGCTCTTGTGGTGGACTCACATCTAGATGAATATTATTGCATTGAGTTGAGGCCTTTTACCACAACCTATGTAGAAGGTATATAGTTACCATTAGTTGAGAGAGTAATCGAATCAGACGAAACTCCAGTACCTCCATTATTAACAGCAGACACCTGAGAAGAACCAGTCTTACATATGTTGTTTTAACATGTTAATAATAGCTTACCTGCACATTGTACATTTCATTATTCTTCAAAGGATAGGAGAGCACGTTTAAATTGGAAAATTCTCTTACAATGAAGTAAGATTCATTCTCCATGGTCGTTAACTCCTAAATGAGGTTAGATATAATTATACATCATAGACTGTCGTAAATTCTAGGCAACATAACAAGCAGCGAAACAGAAGGAGGCTATATACATTATTGCAATGATGAAGTAAAAGAATTTGCTGACTACAGTGGTTCAGAATAGATGTGAAAGACAAAAGGGAATAGATTGTACCATGTTACAAGGATTGTGGTGAATGTAACTGAAAAACTTACAAGATTTGCTGAACCACCGCTTATGCTCACACTGTAGTTACTAACAGTGCCCCCAGCATCAACCTCATCGAGAGGATCCCATACAATAAGAGCAGTAATGTCATTATCATTCTCTAGACTTGGTCGGAACACATATGCCTTGACATTCATAACCTTTCCTGGTGCTGTAGAGAGAAAGATAGTCAGTCATTCAGTGGAAAATACTTCTGTACTTGCATATATGCAGGCCTTACCATGCAACATTGTATAAACAAAGCGCTAGTTCGAGAGTGTATAAATTTCTCCAATTGAGAGTTTACATGTTAGTTAAGCATCACACACAAACACATACTGGCAAAGAACTACATATAAGTCATTTCCTTCTAGCATAAAACTCTGCCATAGATATAGATATATAGATTCGACTTGAGTAAGTAGCTTTCTGGACTGAACTCTAAATATTGCAACTGAGGTGGGAAGAGGCACAGTTTTGTGTGCTTGTAAATGCAGCTTGCACATCAAGTTAATTTTTCAGAGGAGGTAAGTTGAACTACTTCTTGATTTTTCTTCAAAGCGTGAATGCCACCAAAATATGCCAAGGATAATAAAAAATAGACCTTGTTTAAATACTTCATCAAAAGTTTGGGTCCCATACATTTCTATGGGAGAGGAGAAAGTAGAAGTTGCACATGCATCCATGCATACGTGGGAAATTCTGTGCTGTACACTCCATGACAAATAAATTTGGCCAAAGTAGCATTCAGCCATGAAGTTTAGAAAATAATGTGGTCAGGTACCCTTAAATATGCGGCTACACAACCTTACCACTGGGAGGTGATGAAAAGACAGAGGTGACAGATAAACTATCATTAGACTCCAACCACAGAGTATGAGGAGTTACAGTAACATTCACTTCAGTGAAAAATGTTTGATCTTCCAGACGAATGAATGTATCTGTAGTCTGCAATAAAAACACACAGGCATTTTGTGGTTAAATTACTACACAGTGTGTATACATATCTTCTCAAACTTACAAACGTTTTTGCAGGGTCCATTGCAGGTTGACGAAATGGAGTCAGGGTATACTCAACTTCATAGAGAATTGAGTTAGGAATGTTTGCAGAAGATTGACCCCACTCAATGACAATCACTGAGGTATTTGATTCATTTTCTCTAAGTCTTGGAGCATAAGATAATTGCCCGGCTCTTACGTTGGAGAGTCCTGTTGCAACTAAACCATCTGTTAATAAAAAGGATGTATAAATTGACTAGTGATTAATATTAGTCACCGTTTATTAATTTGGGGGGGACTGCTGTAAAATATGTAAATCAGAATCAGTTTAAAACTGCCTGTGTAAGCAAGCCAGAATCCCCTAAAACATAACTACAACCAGAACCCATCACCATTTGACTTTCTGTTCCTTCGTGACCTTAGTGTAGTAAACCTTGATTTATATTTAAAAAAGAACTCCACTGTTGTTTGTACTTGTTCCATGGTTAATAGATAAAACAGGATGCTGAATGAAGTCGAAGGGTGAAAAAAGCACTAAAGTGCACACCCCTGGGGCAGAACCAGCGCTATTACAAAAGCGACACTTATACCTTGTTGCCAAGGAGCATGTTCTTTTCACACATGGAATTTGTACATGACAAGCCTACTTTAAAATGGTGTGAAAAACTAGCCAGCAACAGTCCAACTCGCAGCATCGGTAGTGTGCTCGGTTTATCAGGGACGCGGCTATCCCAGCTACTAGGCAGAATACGCAACATTGCAATCATATTTTCTCTACTGATGCCCATTCATGCGTGCCCGTGCAAGCTTGTGCACAGCTATGACAAAAAACGCATTCATACATGTAGCTGGAGTATATGTGTATGTTGGAGTATACCGTGCCATAGCACAGTGGTTTGAGGTGTGCCTTTGTGTTGTGTCTACCTCGCTACCAAGTTGTTGAGTCATGTCAGTCAATATGGTGGATCTGGCCGTGGTAAACAAAACGTACTCCCACTTTTAAGGTAAGCGATTTCAGATTGAATTCCTTTTCAAGCTAGTGCCCCTTGTTATTGGGTAATAGTGTGAGATGCCAGATTAAGCAGAGCAGACAGACAGATATATGAACAACATACCGTAATTACCCCTATAAGGGCATACGCCAAGAGTCCGTGACAAAGTAAGGGTAGGATATTGCATATCAGGTAGTGAACTAACCAGGTAGTGGCTGGAGTATTTCTGACACCACACAGACAGCCCTAACAACATCAGCTTGTGGAATCACTCCAAATGCCATTTTAACACTGTCACCAATGATTGAAGTAAAACTAGCAAAATCAGCTGGGAAAACATATATGGATTGGCCGCTGGTGGAGATGGTAGTGAGATAAAGGGTTCCTAGACCGTAAGTCAACACTCCTCTGGAGCTGGATCTAGTGGTTGGATACAACAAAATGAGCAAATGCCAGGCACAATTGCCATAACTCAAATAAATATTCCCAACTCAAATAAAGTTATAAACATGCACTTACACAAAGAGACTTCCAGGCAATTCCACTGGAACAGCACTGCAGAGTGATGAAGTTTGTAAATCACAGGCAATAACAATACACGAAATTGGTTTACTTTGTGCCACATCCGTCTGTGGTGTAGTCAAGTTGATTCAACCATACTGTATTGTCTTCATTGTTGAATGTCATCCAGTACAAATACTTCTTCTCTACGTCCAGTGTTAGAGCTAAAGGTTCCGATTCTACACTAATACAGAGCTCTTTTGAAAAGCCACTTAGTTTTCTTGCCATTATGACCTTTCCAGTTATCCAAAATATTCTCCTGTTATCATAATCATGGTGCACGCATTTATCAGTAAAGTACAAGTTGCATTACATATACTAACCCATTGAGAGAGTCCACTGCAATGGAAGTAATTCTAGGATCTTCATCAAAAATATCAGAGTTTCCACCATCCATGTTAATTGTCTTTAACTGCCTATCATCAGCAACCTAATGTTGGAGCACAACCACTAATCTGATAGCAATGGGTATGTAATCACAACTAACGCTGATGCCATCTTGAACCCAAAAGAGTCTTCTTCCGACCCAGTCAGATGCCAGAGAAATGGGTGTATCAAGGCTTGGTACCAAATTGGAGAAAGTGTCCTCGGAGGTGTTGTAACGATACAGTGGACCCTGTCCTCCCTCTATTATCCAGAAGTAGAGGGAGCTCCGAATGTCATATGCCACACCTATAAATATATATATGAGAATGAGGAGGCAAGGAATGTTACTGATAAAGGATGTTACAGTGGCCACTAAAGTTCCTAATCTCTTTACCATTTGATTCCTTAGTGGATCGAGTGATTTCTTCATTTTCACTAATATGCATCGGGTTCAAACCATCAAGGTCTGATACCATTACTGCCGCGTCTGTTGAGATAAGCAACCTAGCCCCCTCTGACCCTGTAACAAACATCCAGCAGAATAATTTTATGAACCGTTAAGTATGTGTATCTTGTAAATGAATGACATCACATATCATCTTACCAGCTGGTTTAGTTCGAAACACAAATTCCTTGGGCGTGGCTCTCTCACCACCAGGACCAATAGCACTGACTCTCAATTTGTAAAGAGTGTCATTATCGAGAGATGACAGACGTATCTGTAGGTCACGTGTACAGTTACTCTCCATATTAGGAACATCAACTGTCGTGTAGTTAACACAGTACAACCAGTCACTGTAGGCACTTTGACCTGGATAGCATATAATTAGACGTCTACATTATCTGTGTTATCACTATGCATTTCATAGCTGTCGTTAAATTACCATGAATTCTCCTTGTATATTCTTCTTTTTCCCTTTATTGGGAGGCTAGCTAGACTGTACAAGCACTAACAACTCAACTGACTTTATACCAGGAAAAATACTTACTAAGGGAGGAATCATCAGAAGGCAATCATAACAACTGGTGGATACAATCAATATACATATTATACATACTATTGAGAGTGACAAAATTATTGTGAGTAGACAGCTTCCCAACAATATATATTATATATAATATATAACGGGGAAAATAAAGCACTTGCCAAAAAATGACTGAACGAAACTTGGCCTTGACCATGATACAGTTGCTGACTCAGAACCAGAAAAAACACGAACATCAGCTGGAAATGATGGTGGCGCTGCAATTTGTAAAAGCGTGAAAGATTAAAGGCATTAAGCAAGTAAACAGTAATAGTTACACCAGTAATACAATAAGCATGGCCATCAACAGTTTTACCTGGAAGTGGCTGTTTTGACTTTCGGAGTACCAAAATATCTTCAATATTGTTGCCATTATATAGTGCTAAATAAAATTCACATTTTGCCGCAGTTGCATTGCATCTCCCACCAATATTATTAGTGACAGTCACAATGATTTCACCAAAAGACTCCAGGAGCATAGAATTGTTGCCCATTATACTTCCATTGTTCTGTTGATCAAATCCAATGTAATGCACAGTGTTCTCGGCAATAAAGTAAATAAAGACATCTGGCTCCAAGACAAAGTCAGTGAAGTTAGCACTCGAAAACACAAATTCTTGTACAGCATCAACTTGAGGACAGGTCGAAGTCTGAGAACTCCGAAAATCATTCAGAGATCCTCGAAACAATCCACCATCACTGGAGACATCATCTATGCTCCAGTATAGATAACTAGAAAGTTAAAATGTTTATAAGGTTTGTGATTTCTGCTGCCCCCTCCCCTATAAATCAAGAACCTATACCTTTATACAATGGTCCCAAATACATCTGAAATTGAACAATAACACAATTTCTCTGCGTACCCATGAACAGGATCTATCCCTAATTTTCTATATCGTTGACTCTCCCAAACAGCTTCACAGACCACTTGTAGACTATCGAGGTTCATGCGCATAACCTGTAAAACAATGAACACATCCATTATAATACATACCTATACTTAACACCCATTACCTTGGTGAATAAGCCCTCATATTCCAGCCAATAAAGATTGTGGAAAAGCCAGTCGACTGTGATAGCACCGAGTGTATTCCCTTGCATACAAGAGTAGAGCACAGTAGGAGTTGGATGCACAGTGAAGATAATGGTCACTCCATCTTCAGAGAGGGAATAATTATACTGGAGAACATTGCCATTTGAGAGCGTTAAATACAGCTCATTCCGATGAAAATGGTAGTCCACACCTGCAATTATAATGCCCAATGTTTTTGCAGGACTTAGTATAAACATCTGCAAACCTGAGATATCAGATGTTATTTGGGTTTCATTCAAAACATCAATAGTACTTTCCAAAAATGAAAAGAATGATGCCGGATGTAACGAGCTCTCAGAGAGTTGAACATACTGAATAAAGTTCTGTCCCACAATAAACATCAGCCCTGGCACAGCTGCAGAGGAAACAATCCAGCAATGATCAGTACAGTAGTACACAAATGTCAGTAATAAACAGCTTTGGAAAGATATACATGCTTATGTCAATTTCAATGAAGTGCAAACCCAAATATGCATGCGAGGGAAACCACTAATTGATGGGTTGGGAATTGGTTGTGACTTATTGTGCTTCCAAGGTACACAGGGCACGCGAATCCGGTCAAGGTAGAGCCAGTGCAATCATGCATATTGCCTTATTCGCTTGTTTTCACGTATACCTCTTGAACATAGCCATTTCAGGACAATCGCCTTTTTTTTTTGACACGCTAGCACATAATATAACTCTTAAGTTGCTGGTACAACTTATATACAGTACATACGCCACCTCTAGTGTGGGAATAGCTCCAGATAAACAGACAGACAGGCGGACAGAGCAAGTACTGTAACCCTTGCTGCGCATGCAACTGAGGGTTAATTACGTATGTATGAGTATCCCTCGCCCGATGGTTCCAGTTGGGCATCCTACTGTATGTATTTGCAAATGTAACAGTATGTTTATAAGAACTGTCACACTGTTTCAAGTTGCAGCCACAAGGTAAGCCAGTCCTAATTAACCCTCGGCGCGCATGCACAGCAAGTGTTACAGTAGTTGGTTTGTCTGTCAGTCTGTCTGTGTGTCGACGTTTATTCTGGCACTACAGGCTACGAGACGGCGTATTAGTGATACCAACGGCTTCAGACCTATGCGAGGCTAAAAATTAAACGGGTGATTTTCCTGAAACAACTGCGGTCGAGGGATATGCCATGAAAACAAGTGAAAAAGCCAATATGCATGACCTGATCCACTCGCTTTGTGTTCCTTGGGGGCTCAAGAAGTCACAACGAAGGGCGTGTATCAACTCCCGCATGCTATCTACTTGTGTAGCTTGCCCGTGTCAGAATCTCCGCGAACTACTAGCGTGGAGACCACGAGTAAACCAATATTAATGGCCCAGCCCATCAATTAGTGGTGTCACGCATGCGCAGTTTGCTGAGGGTTTGCACTTCAGTACTTTTCATTTGCACAAGTAATCAAAATGAGGGGTATAATAGGGATGGCTCGAAGCACCAAAAAGGGAGAAACAAGGGGTCAAAGATACACAAAGCTACATGACACAATCCTTATATCTTTGTTTGATATAGAACAGGATGGTGTCATGTAGCTTTGCGTATCTTTTCTGTGTAATGACCTGTTTCTTCCTTTTTGGTGCTTTGAGCCATCCCTTCATTTTGAAGAAATGATTTTTCCACTTGTTTCCACTATTTTTTTAATGTATGACAACACAGCATTTTCTTATTACCGCCACTCTGATTGGCATGTATGTTTTAGGGTTGATGGGGATCATGGGGATGACTGAATTCTATCTTGTTGAAAGCACTAGCTATGGCTGCTTATGCCTGAAGCAGGGGACAGACAGAGACTGTCTATTGTCTCCAAGGACGTAATTAGGTTATGTGCCATCTTTGCATCTTTGCACAGGATGGTGGTTTCATTGGCAGGCTCTAGTAATCAGACTAAATAGCTACAAGCTGAGACAGAAACAGGGGTACTAAACATGTTAGTTACTCCGTATACTCGGGAACCACGGGATTTCAATGAACACACGGTAGCTCTCTGCACACAGACTCTCGCGAAGTCGCTCCCGTGCACACCAACCGGTAGCTTGTTGGATATGTGTAGACCGATGTTACTCACAGAAAGCACTGGACACTAAAGATCCCGCATGTCTGTCAACAACCGTCTCGACAACTTAATGACAACCGCAGGGTGAATGTGTGCATGACACTGCCCCTTGCTCGGCGCATGTTGCTCACTGCTTTCTAAGTTAGCAGCAAATGGTGTCGTTCAGTGTCTCCCATGGAAGAGCTCCATGATCTACCGCAGTCACTTGCGACAAAAGAGAAACGATCGCTTGATATCCGCGCACACCTCTGGCTAATTTGGAGACGTTCAGTGAAAAAATCAGCGCTTCAAGGAGATAGCGGGTCAAAATAAAGATCAAGAGTATGATGACACAAAAATCGTGAAATCACGTATGAGCGAATTCTCGCGTGGGGTGCGTATGAGGTCTATATTGCTAGTGTGTTTTGAAGGCCTAGCGAGTCATTCTAACCGGGTTCTTAGGCATTTTGTACGCATATCATGTGAGATTTCACCCGTGCCATCCCTGTATATAAAGCTGGAGCGTCTACCAACACTTATGCTCTAATATTGGGTTGGTTTTCATGCCATAATCTCTGAACGCTGTTTTGAAAAAATCTCCATCTTAAAAACCAAGCAAGTGTCACTGAACCAGCTGATATTTCACTCTGGCTGGCTTGTTGTTGTCTGTGGTGACACAAAATGTGGCTAGAGACAAACGGATGAACGGACAGTAGGACACACTCATTACCACCCATCGCTGCACATACATACGCGTCTCAATGAAAGCTTTCATCTCTTCCATTTATACGGCATACACTAACATCAACAAACTTACTCTCTCGTGGAAGGGTGCTGGCAGTGTCTGTAGCTGGGGTGCTATTCCCAAAATTGCTAGTTGTATGTACTTCACAGTTGTAGGTTGTGTTTGGTATCAAATTATGGAACTGGGCGTTGAATCTTGTGTTTCCTCTTGAGAGTTCCATGATGTTGGAATTGTCACTCTCCGGTGCACATCGCACTATATAACCCAATACAACTTCAGGGTAGAGGAGAGGAGCAGACCAGCTGACAGTCAGTGTAGAAGGACCTGATGCTAATATCATCAGTTCCGCCGGTGGGCCAGATGGCTCTACGGATGATATCAGTGGGAAAACACAAGGAAAATTATGCATTACAGCGGTGTGTATGTACTGTAGGTGAGTCTGGGCTATAAATGTAACTGTATTTGGCAAATCTGTCAATTGCAGGGCCTTTATTTCCCATTCTCAACTAGACTTTGTCGATAATTCACACCACCTTGTTGTGCCCACGATACATGTATCTGGATACACAATATTTGATACATGTAGATACAAAACCTGGCAACAATCTACTACACATGTAATACCTTCTGCAGCTGGAGTTGAGAACTCAACCTCACAATTCCCACAAGTACTCAACGCTGGCTGACACACTTGCACCTCATACACAGTTTCAGGAGTGAGATCAGTAAGTACATGTGTAAATTGCTCCTCATCTCCACTAATCTAATTTTAGGGAAATAATACCATTCAACAGCAGTGACTCAGGAAGCAAATGACATGAAAAAAATGTGTGAATGAAAGGCATGACACAATTCACAATTACAGAAGAGTTGTTTTATGTGATGAAGATAACCACTAACAGTACTGTACAAAAAATTACCAAATCAGAACGTATTTGGTTTCCAGTGACCTCATACAGCACGATATATGAGGCATTTGTAGTATCTGCATCTCGCGTCCATATCAAAGTAGCATTTCTGGGTTTGATATCACACACCATGAGATCTGAGAACCACTCCTCAGTGGAAGCAGGTGGTTGACATGAAGGTGTACACTGCACGAAACACATAATTATGTAGAAAATGCAAACATAAACCAACAACTACAACTACAAAGAAGCTTTTATGATTAGCTAGGTGTTTCAACTTTCTGCAATATGCAGGCTAGTATATACACGTATTAAACAACACTGGATCAATACATACCCTAACTGCAACTTCTGATGCCTCTACAGGGCATGAAACTGGCAGAAGAAGGCTTGAGGTAAACCAACGTATATACCAGGCACTCTAAAACAGGCATCCCACGGAATGTATAATTTATGCTGCATTCGTGAAATTTTGAACGAAGGTTAAGTGTGGAACGTGCTGCCATGCCTATTCAACCTGGCCTTTTTAGGGGTAGAAACTCCAAAGGCCAGTTGGAAAATGCAAGACAGACCTACCTCCATGGGACAGCTTGTATCTCATGGCTTCCTGTGGCACTTACTATTGCAAGGTAAGTACAATGTGTTTGAGGCCACGCAAACGCAAGTTGAAAGAGAGGTTTCCAGTCAGATATAGATTATTGAACCATGGCCCGATATTTACTTCTGCGTGGGTGGCCCACGTCGGAGCATCTTTAATTAGCACATTGACAAATTAACTTGCTCATAGAGGTAAAAATAGTGTTATCTGAAACCATTGGTGAATACTTCGTCACATACACTGTAGCAGAAAACGTGATACAGAAAGATTGACACACATAACCTAGGTAATGTGCATTTGCACCCATCGGTTGTAGTAGCAACACCATCCATTATTCAACTCATTGGTTCTAGGCTAGAAAGGACAAGTGTGCATGGATGTGAACGCAAACACATACCAAACCTTCACAGGAGCTGTTATCAAGTTGGTATAGCATGCAAATAGCAACCTATCAAGGTCACATGTTTTTAGAGGATATAACATTAGCACGCCATGAAAGGACCAATATGTACACATATGTAGGCTGCTTCCTACCAACTGTGGGAGACATAGGCATGTACTCACTAACCAAAGGAAGTTGTCACATACATTAAAGACCTAGTCCGCAGTGAGTACTGGTGTGAACATACGCTGGTGTGATTGCGGGAACTAATTGATGGAACACCATTCAGTATAGCATAGCATTTTATGGACAATAATGGTGTGTGTGATTGGAGATTAGAAACATTCATGTGAGTTAACTGTTAACCCATTTTGGTGTTGGAATGACATTACTTTCCAGGGCCTGCAGTTTGTACAACTGAACCCACAATAAAATACAGCATTCATCTGATGGGAATTACACACGTGGACAAAAAAGGAAACAAACAGTAAAAAGGGAAGTCACGTCAGGTATACATACTCAAACTCATCAATGCAAAGCTGCGCAAACATGACTGCTAATACATTTGTTTCAAGAAGTCCGTTTGACAGGAAAAACACAAACGTACTACAATATGTCCAGCCTAGTGGAGAAAGTGGGTGACGGCAGAACTTATGTAAATACATTTGAGGTAGTACTATAGAAGATCTAGACCACACCTACATAAATTCCAAACACACCCTACATTGATGCTCAAAGTCAAACTGACACTACAATGAACTCAAGTATCAACTCATCTGTTTGACACAAGAGGCTACCCAAAATGTTACATACTAACATGCAAACCCTCACCTCAATGGCAATGCATGGGTCTCTGTTTATGCACAGCCCTACTAGCAGGATCATGTACCACACATGTCTTTGCCGGGTCATTTCTTCGTCTCTCCGAAGCAGAACTATAAGCAGTGTATCTAAAAACGCCACCTAAAGGACAAAGATACAGAGTGTTAGTTTATCATAACAAGCACAGCCTACGCCCTCTCCTCCGCTAGCCCCCAAATATTTACCGCCTTCTCCCAAAGGGATCTCTTCGAATTCCTCCACGGCACCAGACTCTAAAACTGCTCCGAACAAACGCGTTCGGTTAGCACAGAAAGGCAGCACACAATCCACTACAACGGTAAACTGATCACTCGGCCCTCGACCGGCCCTCAATAAGAAGGGCGTTCACTTTCTGCAACCACACACACCACCACCACGCTTATTACACACTACTGGGATTTCCGGTTTGATATTAGCGCGCATGACTGATATGACGTCACACACTGACGTTCGATCTTTTCAAGGGGACTTCAACTCTTCAAGCCACTTGCGCTGTGTCACACTGCTCTGGTTTAGTCCGTCCATTCAATTGGCACAACCCCAGTAGTAGATGCAGGTCTTCTGGCAATAATAATTTATCACCCTACAGTGGAGTGTCACCTCCAGAATGGTCTCAGTTGCTGTTCCAACCTGCCTAACATGGCAGAGGGTCCCTGAACTTGGGAACACTTCCAGTCCATGTGATTGCTATACCACTGGATCACCAAGAGCTCAATTTGAAGTGTGCTGCATAAAGGGGTTCCCAATTACTAATCTCATTGTGGAAGTCTTCTTGGATCTGTTTTTCATTAGTAAGCCGTCCTCAAGAGTCCACCTAGAACCTCCCTATTGTCTGCTGGGGACTTGATTAATGCATTGCCTTTACAAGCAGTTACAAAGGTGCAGACACTATGCGAAAGCAATAATGACCGTGTCAAACTCATGAGCAACAAATTAGTAAACTTTCAGGAGACCATAAACTTCACTTGTCTGAGCACCATTTATCTACGATTGTTGGCGAGGAATAACTGATCGTGCTTGGCTCTTCACCGCCATAGGTTACTTTACATTACTGCTCCTTGGTGGTGTATAAGTAGAAAACTGAACAGCTCACGCTATATACATAGAAGGAAAGAAAGAAAAGAGAAAGAAAACAGAACGGCTACAATTAACATACATAGCTAACAACTATAAGGGGACTTGCATAAACACGTGAGCTGCTCCACGATGGCAGTGAAATGACTACAACAGGCAGAGACGGTATGGACACAGGCGGTATAAAACTTATCAAAATACTCTGCGATATATAAAATAAACCACAAAAATAACATCCATAGCAGCACAAAAATAGTCTAGGGCAGTAGCTATCTATAATAGCTACCATTAGAGAGGTCAGCTAGCAAGACTTAGGCATAAGGGTGCCCCGGCCTTGAGAACCAGGGATGGTGGGTTCTACTTTGAATAGCTTGATCATAGGTGACGCAACGCCACACCTGATAAGGTGTAATTAACGGCACCGCGTAGGGGCGTGGTCATACGCGCGCGTAATGCCCGCATGGATCATGATCGGAGCCGGACCTCATCTGGGGTTGCCGCCCGGATGGATCATGATCGGAGCCGGTCCTCGTCTAGGGCTAGGGCATCGACAGACTCAACCAATCGCTGCCTTAGTCCTAGCCCTAGACGAGGTCCGGCTCCATCCGGGCGGCTCCGATCATGATCCATCCGGGCGTTTATACACGCACGTGCATATGCGTTGCGCAAACGTTGCGTCGAGGTGGCGAGTATTCAGGACGGCCACTGCAGAGCCTAGCCATGAGGGTAGTGTTGTTAGGGGTGAAGGGATGCACTGGCAAGTTCAGCTCCAGCTTCTGCAATAGAGTGGGATTCAAAATCCATGTTTCGGTACCAAACAATAGGCATGGTAACACAGTGTTCGACGAGCTCTTGGAGGAAAGGGGGTTGAGAGTATCATGGAAAACCCCGCTGCCTCTTGCATGCAAACAGTGGACGCCCCGCTGCGCATGCGTGCTGAAGGTTAACACGCCCCCTGACACAGCCCCGCCCCCCCGAATGTGATTTGCCTGGACACTTCAACGATAACTTCACGAAGAGATTACTTTGTGGTGAGCAGGGACTCTATCTGAAGATTGTGCTTCTATAGACCTGTCGGCTGCACAGACCGATACTGAGCATCGTACGGGTGGAGAGACAGCTTTTAGAGCCACACTGTGTTGTCAAAAGGGCCTGCTTCCAACATCTGCATAGCTACATTACAAGTTAGGTTTTGCATCATTTACAGCTATATATATTGATGCCAAAGTGCAAAAAACATAGAAGATTACCATTCAAGTTTCATATCTGCTTTACTCCACACATAATGTCCCCCTCTCTTTTTGTACATGGTTTCATCAAAACCACTGAACTTTATGGCTTCATTCACACCAACATCCAGAATAGATTTGGAAGGATCCTTTCTTCCTTGTGTGCAGTCCAGAAACCGCATCTGTAGTGTGGATTGTGGAACCACAGAGTCAAAAGTATCACACAGAAATCCATACACAAGAAGATAATATAACGGAGCACATAATTATAACCCATAACAAAACCTATGCTAAAATGAAGATACACTTGATTCTCGTGCTCCTATATCTATATACAGTCAAAATATGGGGTATATATAGGCCAGCCATAAATAAATAGTAATCCCATAAAATGTTAGACTATTAGAAACAGTACGTATTCATCCAGGATGAGGTAGGAGTCTCTCATAGCAGTGTTGGACTCTGGCACTAGCTGTGGCACATTGTCATTTATATCAAGAAAACTCTTGAATTGCTCATCAGTTATGACAAAAGATTCAGCATTCCTTCGAGCCTCAGGACCAACATTTTCTCCCTCAATCAGTAGACACTGGAATACCTACATAGTCACACCGTACAAAAAAGGATTGGAGTGTGCTATCGTGTATATATTCTTTCTTATTTGAAACAGACAACCTGTGACATTGGGATGTAAGGTCTGGAACAGATAGCTTTCTTTACCGGTTTACCTCAGATTATATAATCTGCCATGGGAGTTATGGGTGTATTGACACCCAATAAGTATGCCTATATCCCAAAACAAAAGGCCCAAAAACTTCCTGAATATTATAATACTCATATTGCAGTAGGGCCACCCAATTTCCTCGAAAATATTGTTCCGATTTTGATGTCGTGAACGGCCCCGTGTCAGCGTACTAAATTTAGAGCTAGTCAGGCTGATTTTAGATTTATATTATATTTCAAATGTGATGCCAAAGCACTGCTCCAAGAGCACATGTACCAAAAAAGGTTTTGTGTCATACAAGCTAATGCCACAGTTTGTGTTTTGGAGCAATGTCAGGAGCACAGTTTTTGGTTAGCAAACAGTAACAGTTTTTAGAAGCGTGAGTAGTAGATAGCAGGGTATATTAGCTTGGCAAGATCCTTCGTTTGTCTTGCTTTTTTGTCTCTCTTGACTATGGACAAAGTCACCAAAAAGCCTCTCGCAACTTTAGGTCTAGTGTACACAGGCTGATGTAGCTACATAGCTTGTGCACAACTTGTTAATCAATCAATCATTGCACCGACCCACTAGGGCATGGCAAGTACATACATACAAAAGAGAGACAAAAAGCGTAGAGAGCGAAGTCTAGCTGTACAGTACAAAACTAGCACTGTCCCCGGTCGATACGTTGTATATAGGATTCTCTTGAATGTGCACCATAAACGGTGGTAGCTAGTTGAAGTCGCATAAGACACGGACACTTAATTAGAGGTTTACCAACACCCACTCCACGGCAGATCATGAGCCACAGAATACCAGCTGCCGCACAATCAGCCCCAAAGAGGCTACCCTTCTCACCATGGGAGTAGAACAAGTACGACCCAGGGATATTGCGACCACTGGATATTTGACTTGCCTCCCAGGTGGACAGATCTAGCAGCTGAAAAAACGGGTGCACACCACCGGTACGAGGGCAGAGGAAGAGATGAGGTAGAGCCTCAGTCGATGTCGTTAAGAAGATAGCTACACACAAACATAGGACTAAAGACCAAAACGCTTGGTATTGACCAGAGCCCTGGAGAGCGTTTAGAACGCCATGGCACATGTAAGGTAAATGGGGGTAACTTCGGACACGGACATGACTCGCTATTCAGAAACGAGAGAAAGATTCGGATATATTTCACTTGATTACTACCTACCAAAGCACTAACAAATGTTCCTCGCGTTTTTTTCGCAGCGAATAATTTCGAGGCCGGTGCAACGCCCCATGTCCGGAGTTACCCCCATTTACCTTACATGCGCAGCGAGGCGGTTACAGTACTTGGTCTGTGTGTCTGTCTGTGTCTCTGTGTGTGTGTCTGTTACACGTTTTCTGCCACCACGCGGACACCAACAGGCTGCATGCACAGCGAGGGTTACGTCCGCGAGCCATCTCACTTCAATCGCTACGCAAACGAGCGTCAGAAAAACGTGTGGGTTTTTCTATGAAACTGCTGTTACGGCGTGAAACACGAGCGAAAAAGCCAATATGTTAATTACCTCCAGCGGCAGTGGCGGATTTAGGGGTCATGGGGTTCTGCAACCCCCCCCTCGAGGTCCTACCTCGCTGAGACCACTGGATCCGCCATTGCTCTGTGTATCTTGAAGGCACAAGAAGTCACAACGAAGGGCGTATATCGACTCCCGCATACAATTGTAGTTAGCCCGCGTCAGACTCTCCGCGGGGGATTACCACGCCTAGTAAACTTTAATAGCCCAGCCCATCAATTAGCAGTACGCGCATGCGCAGTTCGCCGAGGGTTTGTCAATTGACCCAAACAAAGATGGGTGTGTAAACAACTTCACAGAGGTGGTTCTTGACCTAGAAATCCAGTTAGCATTGTTCTATTACATCATACCTTCCAACGGACAGGATCCAACTGCAGTATCTCTTGGCTCATATCTTCCTTCCAGTTGTAAGTGTTTACAACAGTGTTCACCTTAAACGCTACTTTATAGTCTCTGCACCATTGTCTCACCCTAGTCAAGGAGACAAGGTGGTTCTTACTACCCTGCTGTCTTCCAATATCTGAATTTGTACTTTCGTCAAAGCTGTCACATGATATGGCCAAAATGTCCAAGGATTCACCTGCACAAGGTGAATATAATTATACACTTTTATATATGTGCCTCAGAACTGTTAAGAGTGATGTTATGCCACACATTATACCTATGTGCTCTGCTTGCAAAAACTTGACTACCTAACGATACATAGCTACCATCCATGCTTTGTGCATTTTGCATACTTACATATGTAGTTTGAATTTAGTAGAGTTGATGCTTACCATACTTGCGAAACCATTCCTCAGTGATAAGACTTCCATTACTGACAATAGTAACACTTGGAAGTTGAAGAGTGTTCTTGCAATAGTGAACTAACTCTCCAAGAAATTCTCCCTTCTTGTGTACGAATGGCTCCCCTCCACTGAAGTTTATTTTCTCCATACCTGAAATGTTAGTGTTTATAGCTACTGCATTTTGAACGGATATTTGCTGTTACAGGTTACAGAAATACCAAACAAGATAATCCACTTTTCCAAAGAGAGGGCACTGCTCTTGCTTCAAAACGCGTAATGCTGCTCCAAGCTCAGTTTTCGAATGGGAAAATTCCTAATACCATGCACCACTATGGGCCTCCACCCCCCGTTTCGCAGCGTTATTCTGCCACTAACCCACAGACGCACTTGAACTTGTTCGCGCGGCACAGTTGCCTGTAAAACCCGACCTGCATCTCTGAGTAAATCCAAACCATGCTTGGCCTCGTCTATTGGTAGAACAAAGCTGGTCTTTGCAGTGTGGAAACAGAAGCCGCAGTGGTAGTTACACTGCCTGGTGAAATGATAGTTGACGCTCTGAGGAATGGTAACGCCCCGGGCTTTCGCATCACCGCAATCAACCGATGAGCCAGACATTGTAGACTGCGGAAGACTTATTGCTACTCCGTGTATAATAACGGCTCTTGCTACTAGCTACCTAGCAACTAGCTACCTAGCAACCTGCGCGTCATAATTGGCTGTTCCCGCATAATTATAAAGAATGTTCATTTTAAAATCACCGGCGCACCCACTCATCACGTGGAAAGCGAGGTCATTACGACGGTACGGCCGGCCGGAGAGCCAGCATCCCCCCACACCCCCGGCCCCCCGTATAGACCGTCAACACGCTCCTGTGGGGAGCGACTAAAGGTGACCAACGGGTCGTTTCGCAGCGTTGTTGCGCACCGTCGTACGTAAACGTAAAAAGGTGCTCTAAATAGAACCCCATCTCTACCGAATTTGCGAACGAAGCCGATCAAGTATATACGGGGGCACCGTTTGTTCCAAAAACTTATTCTCCAAAAATATATGGGAAATTTTTATATATTTGCTACAATATTTAGCTTATGAACTGCCCATTTTATCTGGAACGTGATTTGAAAATTATAGTAGCATGACAATCGAAAAATGCATTTATAAGTCGGTTGTCATTTTTATAAATAGCTGCTGCCACCTAACTGCGGGACAATTTTGAAATATACGCCATTTGTTCCAAAACACGCCAACAAGGTAGACATTGCAGTTTCAGTATATCGACTGAGAAATTTATAAATCGACCAGAGAACACCAAGATGTGTTGCAAATGACGTTATTATGTCGCGTGCACATGCGTCAAACTCCTGAAATGGACTCCTGCCTACCATTTTCTGTAATTTGCCACACCTCCTGTGCCAAATGTCGTGGTTGATTTATAAATGTCGTCGATTTATTAAACAAATGTGAACATCAATATTTACACAAATGTCGTCGATTTAGTAAAGCACATAGTCAATGATTGAGTGTGGCGATGGAACATGAAAAGTGTTTTAGAACAGATGGCATGTAGTTCAAAACAAAACTTGGCCAGACAGTTAGCAGGTGATTAAGTACTTGATATGTAGGGATAGGCATGGGCTATGGTTTGTTAATCTCCTCCTTCAGATTCAACACCCATAACTCAAAAACGAAACAACATTGTAGTGTATTGCGCATGCTCTATTATATTTATCCGTTCACCCTGTATATTATAAGCTGTACCCAATAATAAGATTCAGATTTGGTTGCCTATTTCACTCTGCGTGTGGCACTACAAACATACAGTAATGAAATGTAATAATGTTCATATCAGTCACCTGAAGAGACTGGTCATACTAATTTGTTGTATTGTTTGAAAGAATAATTAATATTACTTCTTCACTCCTCAAATTTGTTATTGGTAGCAGGCATGGAGATGAAACTTGGTACACATTAGTATTACATGATTTCCATGATGACCACATGTTTATAAGCAACAACAGGCTATTATATAAGGGACTTTTCCCGTTTCACAGAGATATACGTAGTAGTACTATCACTAAGTACGGTAGTACTTAGTATATAGGGATGACACAGGTTGTCCTGTAAAAAATGAGTTAAGACAAGTAAATTAAAAATCCTGCAAATTAAAAAAGATGGTATAAAAAGAAAGGGAGACAAGATAGGGATGGGATACATGGAGCACGGTTAAAGAACAGATTTGAGTACGCTGATACCCCCAACCCCATCACACAATCCCTATATTGTTGCCTAGGTGAAGCATTAAACACTCACCATTATAATTATGTCAGGACCTATAGCTTGACAATACTCATGTTACTGACTAACTGTTATAGAGTCCAGATTGAGTTTAAGACCAGGCAACAATATAGGGATTGTGTCGGGGGTGTCAGCGTGCTCAAATCTGTTAGTAAACCATGATCCATGTATCCCAACCCATACCTTGTCTCCCTTTCTTTTTTACCATCCCTAATGCCTCTTTTTAATTCACAGGATTTTAAAGTTAGTTGGCTTGGTGGGCATAATTAGCGGGTGTGGCCAAGGATTAATTACCCACTTGCATATAGCTACTTTCCTGTCGAGTTGGGCGTCTTTGGTGGTTTAATTACCCCGGTCTGCTCCTACATACAGAGTTAGAGTATACTGTGCCATAGCACAGTTTTTGAGGTTTGCTTTTGTGTTGTGTTATAGATTCGAACACTTACCAGCTGAGTTGCGGTAGTTCGAATCGGCAGCTCTTCTTTTTTCCTGGAGAGTTGTCCTGGGTGTAGTTGACTTGTTTGCTTTGCCTGCCTTTCTACCTAGTTACCTCGTCGTTGACACATGCTAACTTCTGTTCGTTTTCTTGTACATGCTTTAATGGTTATTTATATAGACTGCATCGGCATTACATCATATCTTCACCTGCAACACTCGGCTGCCACACAGCCCTTGCAGGTTCCCTGCAAATGGGTGACAGAGACATGGTGAATACGAGTCATCCGCCCATTTGTAAAGACACAAAGACCGCATCTCAAGCTATTGCCTGAACGATGATGTGTTAGTGTGTAGTTCTTGCCAGTTCATATGGGGCACAAAGGATGACAAGTGTCTCCTTGTTACTGAAGTTGTAGAGCAGCAGTGTTCAAAATTGTCTCAACCGAACCCAGAGGTGGAGAAACACGGGGAGCAGATGCGGATGTTACTTCAACAAGTAGATGAAATATTCAAAGTGTGGAAGAGAATGGAGGAGCATGAGTTCATGTTTCCACATTACTTACCTGTTACGGCACACAGACCACACACTGTACTCTATCAATTATAGTATGTTTGAGTTTTGGTATGATATTAGGTGCATTCTGTGGGGCCCAATGTGCACTCCTCCTTGCCAATAGAAGACAAAACGATAGTGCTGTAGATTTAGTGATCGTACTAGGATTTAGAATCCCATTTAGTTCATCCTCTTGATGTGCATAGAGCGCTCGCCTAGAGAGCAGTGTCGTGGGGTCGAATCCCAGGGCAACTCTTCCTTAGTTGTCCTGGGTGTAGTCGACTTGTTTGCTTTGCCTTTGCCTTTGCACCTCACCTTCTTGTCGCATGCACAATATGTTGTCAGAAAGTGCACATTGTGCATACTAACAGGTGAGAGAGCTATTCTAGTCATCTAAATTTAGAAGGTTCATTAACTCTTCCTCCATAACGTAGTTTGATAATGCTTGTAAAACCGCATACATCAGCTTGCCATCTACAAGTACAAACCGTCAGTGCAATAATGATTCCATGTCGCCATACGCATAATATACGCGTGGTTCCGCATGGTCTCTTGTTAGCTCTGACACTGGTGAGCTTCACTAGTGGATAACATGCAGGACTTGATACTCGCCCTGTATTTTACTCTACTATAGCCCCCGCTACGCATCCATATATACTGAGGGTTAGAATTTGCATTTGTTAGTTAATAAGTGCCTGAAGCATTTCCGATGACGTCGCATTGTATCTCTACTGGAACAGGATGTCAGTAATTATTCCCCAACAATGATGACGTAATATCTATCTCAATATATATGTGAGGGTAACAGGGAATATTGTGGCCACATAGAAGTCTTCCATTTCCACTCAATTTCAGCCTATATAATATGCAGAGACATTTATGTTACCCATAACTCTATTCAAGTTGGGAATGCAAAGTTATTATACATGCATTCAGAAAGACTGAAGTGTGAACTTGTATGTTATGATAAAGCCTGAGCCTGTTTTAAAGTTGTATATACTTTGTTTAGGTTTAATTGTACTCCAAACTAGTGTGCAGTGCTAGTTGTAAGTGAGTATAATTATAATTATGATGTTTCTGTTTCATGCAGTGTGTTAGATGAAGTCGACAGCCAGTTTGCCCTGCTAACAGCTGCTCTGGAAAAGATGCGTATAGAGCAGGTTTTGCAAGTCAGAGTTCATACCCTCTTAACTCAAGTAGCCTAAACAGGACTAATTATGCTAATCATTAGCTCAATAATTTTAAACTATGCTCCTCAAAATTTCTGTGCGAGGTCTAGCCAGATTGTATTGACACGTACTGTGGATATTTTAGGAGTAGGAAGAAAAATACTACGTGTTATAGTGAAATGAAATGCCGCTGAATTAAGTTCACTTTAATCGCTCCCTTTGGTGTGGAGGAGGCAAGAATGATAGATAATACATAACCATAATTATCTATGCAAACTGTGCTCTCTACAAATGTCTCATTTATACTCAACTTGTTTCTGCACTATGTACCATGGTGAAGGAACATTGGGGGTGTGGTTCAAAGTTCAAAATGATGTCGTTTTATGTCATTCATGATGATAGTGTTGCGGTACAGTGCCCTGTACACACACCCCTCTATGCCTCTCACCTTTGTGAATGGCCCAACATGGGTAATACACATCCCAGGAATGAACGACCGCCCCCCCCCTTCACACACACACACAAACTTTCTCCCTAATATCAACCACTAAGTATATACACTGTAGAAGTTAAGAATGTACTTATGACATCACCATAGACATACCATCCAACACAGTACATAAAACAGCCTTACCTACCATGAGTTCAGTTAGTTGTATAAAGCAGTGGGAGAGAAGGAGGGAGAAGAAACAGGAAACAGAAAGTGAAAAAGAATGTATTTCCCACAGTACATGTAATTGATAACAGGCCTAGTTATGTAGACATAGTCTCTGTGGTGTAGCAAAAATCATTAGTTGTTGCATGTATACGTACCCCTAGAACTCCAAAACCATGCCACGTGACATAACTAATATAGACTCCATTCGGGTGGAGTGGCCTTGCCCTTTCTGGAGTTTTTCTCGTGTCTGGAGTTTTAAAGAGGTCGAAACATTGTTTGACACGATGAAAGATAGGGAACTCCCCTGATGACCAGTAGAAGTAACTAACAGCCTGGTGGCACTGCACCTGTGTCGGCATGCTGGACTTGTGTATATAGACATACATGTACATTTTGGCACCTGGCTGGCTGCATGCGGTGACGCTGACAAAAGCTGCCCACCCTCTCTTGTTTAGTAATTGAATCGGTAATTGAAAGTTTTAAAAATTCTTCTTATTCTTATCATTGTTGTTCAGTTTAGACAAGCATTATCTAAAAACCCAGGTAAGGTACAGAAATGAAACTTTGCACAGATATTGGAATCCATGACAGGTCGTGCAAGAGCATTTAAATTTTTTGTAAACAAAAATAGCCCCAGGCTATACACTATGATAAGGACCAATGAAGTGTGCTAACTAGGTACTGCTAATACCCAGAGTGATAAAACTCACACATGCGCATATGCAACCCATCATTAGTATCAAAATGTGTATGTAAACACAACAACATGGAGAGGAAACGCCACATTGTGGGCTCGCCGCCTTCCACCCCACTCCGCCTGGGTGGATGGTAACCATCTCACTTAACTAACTTTTTTGGTTGGTTTTTTGTTTTTTGAGTTTTAGTTTTTTGTGTTTTGTTTGTTCTTGTCTTTTTGGTTTTTTTGTTTCATTTTATTGTTCCTTTTTTTCCTCCGACGGTTTGAGAGTGGTCAAATTTATGTCGAGCTGGACATGGGAAAGGGTCGATGAGGCAAGGAAAAGGTGGCACTTGGCGCCATTGAGTGTAATTCCTCTACAGTCAATTTCATCTTGTGGACAGAATGTGTTGGGAAAATGGAAAGCTCAAAGTCCTTTGCCTACTACCATTAGCAAGCACCAGAAACTGGCAACTATTTGCAAGTTCAATTCAGTTGTTGGAAGTCGGAAATGAACTTAGCATGCTACTGAACATGGACAAAGGAAGTCTACTTCCACAGTGGAATGGACATTGGGATGGTGTTGGATGGCATATGGACTCACAGTACCTCCTTCATGCCGAGACAAAGTTTGAATACAGCTTTGCTTTCCCCCTCCACCTTTTACGCGGCGAGACCCAAAAGTCGTGCTGTGCTCATTTGTTGTCGCTTCACAATGCAACCAAAATGAACGTAGTTGCAGCATAGACAAGAAACCCCTCCACAACCTCTGCAATTCATGCTGAATTTTGTATCAATTTCACTATTGCAAAGAACAAGTCTATTTGAGGGAAATGCATACTATTGCCGTGTGGACTTGTTCTTGAGCTGAACTGTGTGCAAACAAAGATGGAGTCGAGTATATAGAATATAGTACTAGCTAAAGTGCATGCTACTAGAGGCTGCCAATCTTACCACTTAACCACTGGACAGCTTCCTCTAGTCCATCTCCAGTCAATGCATTAGTGGAGCTGCATCGTACAAGAATACTGTTATAACCCATTTTAAGTCATGCAAGTTTGCCTACACAATTATAAAAGGGTGTTTGATTATTCTTTTGTGTATGTGTTCATACTACAGAGTAGAAATAGCGTGTGTGAAACAGTAATTCACAAACACATAGAAGAATTGGAGACGGTAATGACTGTGAAAAACAGCAACGTGCAAAACTCCAGGGTGGGTGTGCCTGTACTGTGCAGGTTTACCTGGCCCCTTGTTGGCAGACACACCCTTGTTTACAGTAACCCCCAGCCATAGATCTACTCACCAATTCATGACCTGAACACAGGCCATGCATATGGTCATCACACATTTGTACCACCCATGCATTGCAGTAGTCAGTCTATAATAGCAATGAGGTGATGCAATGATGTGAAACAACACTCACCATATATGGTATGGTCTGTCTTTAGCAAGTAAGTCTACGTCCATGGCTTTTGAACACTAGAGTAGAAAGAGAATAGATATGCAGCTAGCACCTGGTATTTTTACACAAGTACATTTTGTCATTATGAACATCAGTAAAGTTCTGGGTTTTGCATGTGGCTACTGGATCATATTGATTGCAATGTCCATGTCCAGGTACTATAGGTTTGTGCAAGCAGAAGGGTAGTATAGTAAGTGTATCTGAGGCTTCTCCTGGCATGGGAACACAGTCATGCTATATATTGTATGTGTGGAAAGGCATGCACATCCACCCCTTGCCTTGTTAGTCAAGGCAATAACAATACATGTAATTGCCATGCACCTGTATAGCTGTCAGCGAGCCTCTAATATCCATCTTGTTAGCAAGAAGTAAGATTGGAATGTTTCGGTCCTGTATCTCTGAAAGGAGCAACATATGGTGCACATGATTTAATGCGAAATGAAACACTATAATGTTTGATACTCACTGCTGTGTGTAAGTAGGGTTTTTAGTTCCTCCTGTGCTACTGGCATTCTCAGTTTGTCACTGCTATCCACCACAAATATGACAGCTTCTATATCCCTGGGTGAAGGCAGACAAAATATATACTTAATACCGCAAATTCACACAGATGTGTAACATAATCCATGCATTAGAATGATGGGCAATCCATTCGCATGATATGCACCTTTGGTGTCTTGGTATAAAAATACTCTTCAAACTTCAAAACTCACTCATAGTAATGTTCCCAGAGGTTGCGGTATCTTCCCTGACCTGACATGTCCCAAACAGTGAAGGAGATACTACAGGCAAGAAATAATTCACACGGCAGATAGATATGTATGCTACAAACCTTTCATGCTTGAAGACTTCTACATTAAACCCAATTGTAGGCAATATATTGTGGGCTTTTGTCTGCATATGAAGGATATCACAAAAGAGATAGAGTTAATCTACTCACTTTGCTTGTCACAAAATTGTTACATTCCTACTAAACAAGACACCCCCACCCCATCACACACAAAATAGCAGAGTGGAAAAACCAAGGTTATGCAACAATGTTCATGTTTGGCTCTACAACTTACACTCTCCGGCTTTAGATGATTGATGACAGTAGATTTACCACTGTTATCCAGGCCGACACATATCACTTTAGCTTGTCTTTGCTTTAGACCAAGCCACGTAGCCAAGCTGTCCAGCAGCCCCATTGATCCTCCGTAAGACACTCTAAATAATGCTCACCTTGTTAGCCTTACCTATAGTCTCCATGACAGCGGTAAAAAGCGCATGCGTGGAATTTTCTCGTGGGAATATTTTGGGCGTGGCTCTCCTCCTATCGCTGGATTTTGAGGGGTGGATCGGACAGTTTGAAAGCTGAGATCAGAGTTAGAAAGCAGAAACTGGTGTGCTCGTATCGTAAGTACTGTGCCAGGAACTATATTAAGTCTTTTACTTGCTCCCTTTGTTTTCTTCAGTGTTCAGTGTTAGTTGGCCCAGAGGAACGAAGAACCACAATGCCGAAGCACGCGGTAAGAAAGTTTTACAAAGTTTAATGGGCGTGTGTCTCAGCATTTAACAGTCTTCTGTGCACTATCGAGTGTTTGCATGAGCCTATTTTATTCACGTGCAACTATTATTACGTGCATAGCACTACCTCCACTGCAATCTGAATTCAAGTTCTTCTTTCTTGCAGGTTAATGTCCGTGTCACCACCATGGATGCGGAGTTGGAGTTTGCCATCCAACCAAGTACCACTGGGAAGCAACTCTTTGACCAGGTTGGTGCATATATGTATGTATAGTTGGTGAGTGCAGTTGTTTTTGAAGCACTTTTCTTATGAAACTGGTAATTGGAACAACCGTGTTCGCTAGTATTAGTGGAACTGTGTCTCTTGTTGTGGATGAATAGTAATATGTCAAGTTACACCCCTTTTGTACCCTCCCTCAGAAATTCAATATCGACACCTTTTGTCAACTCATGTATATGTATAGTGTACCTGTCCACTAATACACCAGATTCAGTTGGAATTCCCCACTATGTATTATATTTAGACTGAAAATCTTCTTCGTTTCTTTTTCATGTCTTTTATACAGGTCGTGAAAACGATTGGCCTGAGGGAAGTGTGGTACTTTGGACTCCAGTATGTGGACACAAAGGGGCTCACAACCTGGTTGAAACTCAACAAGAAGGTGCGTACAAGTCACTACATCAAGATGTGGGGCACACTATGCTGACTTGGTCTATTGACTAGTCGAGATGTCTGTGCATGGGTACAGACATGCATGAATGAAAGAGTCAGGTCTAATGCTGTGTGGGAAGTTTAGTAACTTTACTACAGCAAATGTTGAAAGATACACGATATTAAGTCATTAGGCACTTCCATACTGTGAATGATACAGGGTTAGCCAATTTGATTCTCTACTGTGTCTGTTGTTCAGGTTCTGGCCCAAGATGTTCGCAAGGAGACCCCACTGCAGTTCAAGTTCAGAGTAAAGTTTTTCCCTGAGGATGTGGCTGAAGAGCTGATCCAGGACATAACGCAACGGCTGTTCTTCCTCCAGGTATAGTGCAAAAGAGTGTGTGTGTAAGGCTGAGAAACAGCCCTGCCACAGACACATATTGGGTTAATGGATACACGAGTACATAGTACTGTACCTAGAGTCATCTATGTGTTTCGTAGATGGGTGCATATGTAGATCATAGGTGAATATCATACTACATACACATACATGGGCACTTAATGACCATAGGCCATGCGAAAAACACCTACTGTGACACTTCACAAGTGTCTGGAAGGCAGGATACTGCCTGTAAAAAAAGCCAAAACTCAGCCACATCTTTGTGTACCATGAGAACAAAAAGCTAGACACAGATGTTTCGGTGAGCGAGCAAGAGGCGGCGGCTCCACCCAGGTAGCCATGCCCTGCTGAGTTAGCGGAAAAAAGCAGCTGCGTAGCTTTCTTGGTCTACATAGAACTCCGCTGGCAGCTCGGGTGTGGTGTTTTCAGGGGTTCTTTCCACCGTCTGCTCTCCCTACCGAAATTTGTCTGTGACTGTGCACCCCTTTTATATGCAGGGAAAATCAGGATTGGCAAAAGCCAGTAAATTTGCCATTCCCCCATAACTGACTTTGTATTTATCCGCTGATTTCATAGTCACATTGTTACGTATTCCTATGAAAAGAACAGGTTTGACTGGTACAAAAACCTATACCAATGTGTACGTTTAGTTGCCACTTGTCTCTGCTTTTGAGTGAATAATGTTCTGCTCCGTGTATACAAACGATTGCAGATCAAGGAGGGTATTCTGACTGAAGATGTGTACACGCCTCCAGAGACAGCTGTGTTGCTGGCATCTTATTCGGTAAGTAGATGAAGGGTATGGTGAGCAATCTACTTGATTTCGCAATTAGTTTAACAGTAATGTAGTAGCAAATCAATGATGTGTTACTGGAGAGGGCCCGAGTAAAGAGAATTTAATTATAGTTTGTAGAACATTGTGAGCTTGTGTTTGATCGTGCTACAGGTCCAGGCAAAGTTTGGGGACTACAACAAGGACGTGCACAAACCTGGCATACTGGTTAAGGAGAGAGTCCTCCCACAGAGGTATGTACAAACTACAGGCATCATATCATTGTGTGTCTGTACCTACCATGCTTGCTTCTTCCACATTAGAGTCCTGGACCAGCACAAGCTGACTCCGGAGCAGTGGGAGGAGAGGATCCTCAACTGGTGGATTGAGCACAAGTCCATGCTGAGGTAAAGAATATCGTAATAGTGCAGGGGGGTTGTGGGCTTGTTCAGACCATGCCACTTACTGCAGTGCCCAGAAAAGTAGGTAGCATATCCAGGGGGATTTAATATGCAGGCGCCCCAGCCACAAATCCTGAAAACACCATTGAAAATTGGCACACATTTTTAAAATTGTTCCTCTGAGAGATGGCTATTCAAATAACATGCACTGTATGTTGCATGTGATTGTAAATTAGGGAAGATGCCATGCTGGAGTATCTGAAGATAGCACAGGATCTGGAGATGTACGGAGTCAACTACTTCTCCATCAAGAACAAGAAGGGGACGGAGCTGTGGCTGGGAGTGGATGCTCTTGGGCTCAATGTCTATGAGAAAGAAGACCAGCTTACCCCCAAGATTGGCTTCCCCTGGAGTGAGATCCGAAACATCTCCTTCAATGACAAAAAGTTTGTCATCAAACCCATCGACAAGAAGGCTCCCGTGAGTATGTATCATAATGACTCTGGCACACATAGTACCATAGACCTTAGTATAAGCATAACATGTTGTACAGTACTGCATTGTGCTTTTTTTCCAGGACTTTGTGTTCAATGCACCTCGTCTTCGCATCAACAAGCGTATTCTGGCCCTGTGCATGGGTAACCACGAGCTCTACATGCGCCGCCGAAAACCTGACACCATTGAAGTGCAACAGATGAAAGCCCAGGCCAGGGAAGAGAAACATGGCAAGCAAATGGAAAGGTATGTGGAATATCATTTGTAGGATGTGATTACTCATAGTGGCATGATTGTGCCGGACTCGTAGAGCAGGGAAGTCATGGTGCAAAGCGTCACGTGAGACATGCTGAGTGATTAGTTCCAACAGTGCCTGCCTGCAGTTGTGGGTTGTCATCTAATGAAGCCTTTGTGCTTGCTTCGCTACTCTCTTTATTAGCCCTCAGCGCGCATGCCCAGCGAGGGCTACAGTAGTTGGTTTGTCTGTCTGTCTGTCTGTCTGTGTGTCGACGCTTATTCTGGCACTACTGGCTACAAGGCGGCCTATTAGTGATATCAGCGGCTTCAGAACTACCCAAGCCTGAAAAACAAAAGGGCGATTTTCCTGAAATGACTACATTAGAGATATGCCTTGAAAACAAGCGAAAAAGCCAATATGCATCATCCTGCTGGCTTACACCTCGACCTGATCCGCTCGCTCTGTGTCGCTTGGAGGCACAAGAAATGCAACGAAGGCCGTGTGTCGACTCCCAAATGCTATCTATGTACTACTGTAGCTAACCCGTGTCAGACTCTCCGCAGGCTGCTAGCAAGAGACCACAAGTAAACGCATACGCATAGCCCGGCCCATCAATTAGCGGTTTTGCACTTCAGTGCTTTTCATTGCATGTGCAGTCAAGACTACGTACATACACTATGTACATAGCACCATTCTTCACCTCTCCTAGTCTCAACAGGACAATTTGTCCATGTTTTACTATCGGAGGCATGTACATGTACATAGCAGTAACACCCCGTAACATGGTACACAACACAACGGGGGAAGGCCTATGTATTATATTATGTGAAGGAACAAAACTGATAGGATATGAGGGGTTACACTAAGGTGTTTTTAAGAAGGGCTCCACATAGTGTGTACAGTATCAATTTCCAAACATGGTGGATGAATATTAAACGTGTCAACACGTGCCCTTGAAAGTACGGTACATAGCTCACTATAGAGGCAGTCTAGCCGTAGTTTTGATCAAGAATAGAGTGTGTTAGTTACCTTCAAAATTTTACTATGTAGGCTTTGGACTGATGGCAGCGTGTGTGAGATCGTCGGGAGAGCGACCTCACTGTGTGGCTTGGCGCAGCTACCTAGTGCCCGCATGTGATCACCCCATAGGTGCCTGAACCAGTGTTTGCTGGCTGTCTGAAATACAAGAGATGGCTGGTTTGCGACCAATGTGGGCGTGATAAAGCCACCCGGCAAACGTTATTCCAGATGTGGTTGTGACTATAATTTTGGGCATTGTCCAGCGTGTTTGGTTATTCCATAGTTGCATGCTTCCTCGTGGGCTTGATATGCTCCTGATTATACAAGTAAGATCACCCTTAGCTCTATTGCCCTCTAACCAGCAAGCCACACATGTACAGTACAGTTATTCTTTACCAGGGCTCAGCTGGAGGAAGCCAAGCAGGCCAGAGCAGAGGCTGAGCGGCAAAAGAAAGAAATGGCTGAACGCCTTCACAAGTTTGAGCTAGAAACGAAAAAGGCAGAGGAAGGTAATCAATGCTACATGTAAATGTATATAATTATGTGCATAATTGCAGAGTGAGTTCAAGAGTTCCATAACCTTCTTTTCCTTCCCAGAGCTCGTTCGCCAGGCAGAGAGTGCTAAACTACTAGAGGACAAGGTTCGACGGGCAGAGAGTGAGTATCACGAGATGGAGCAGGAGAAACAGAGGTTAGAGAGCGAGAGAGCAATGCTGGCAGAGCAAGCCAAGAAGGAGAAAAAAGAGAGTGAATCTTCTCGCAAGAAGGCAAGGGAGATGGAAGAGAAAGCACAACGAATGGCCGCTGAGGCTAAAGCCAAAAGTGAAGAAATCTCTGCTATTAAGGCGGAGGTGAGATACATAAACGTAACACTTTATGATTTACGTACATACGCACACACAAAGCCTTACATCACTATTACATCACTGGTTCAATACATAGTGTATGGACAAATGTTATGGGTAAGATTACTATGCAGGAATGGAATGCCTTAGACGCCAAAACCGGAGAGCTCCTGTTCTTGGTTGTCATGTACCATGTCAGTGTTCTATTTCTGTGATGTCCAGTGTATGTACTATGTACGTGTGTACTGTATGTTGACTGCTTGGTCCTGGTGTTTGTCTCCAGCCATTTGCTAGTTTTTTTATCGTTGTGTAGTAATTGAGGCAACAGTGTACATGTGTACCTATTATACTTACCCTGTTTGTCATGCCTTATGATTACTTGTAAGATGACAAAAGCCCATAGACGCACTGCACTGGCAGCGGAAGTGGTCACTACACACTTTTGGTTTTAGGTTGGAAATGAATGATGTTTCTGTTAGACGTGCAATGCACAGACAGACAGATGCACACACACAACAATTCTAATAACCCTAGCTGATCATATGGGCCGAAGGTTAGCAAAATCTCTGACTTTTCCCCTCAGCTGGATACAGATAAGACTAAAGCTGGTGGGATGGTAAAGGAGACAGAACATGATGACACAGAGGACAGTACATCAGTAAGTAATGTTGTTGTTGTTGGTTATGTGTGTCAATAGACTAACTTCAGCAAATCTCAGTGTAAATATACTGTGTAGGTCTGGGATGGGGAAAGTGATTTTCCTTCCCATTGTCTAGTCGTTTTTCTTTGGACATGTAAACATTTGTGGTAATAATTAACCCTTGACACGCATGCGCTAGAGTGTTATGGTACTTGGTTTGTAACCCTGTCTGTCTGCTCTGAAGTTTCAAGGGCTCAGGTTAAGTCAAATAGACTTCTTATTGAGTATGATAAGGTAATCAAAATAAAATCCATCTTCTCTAAAATGATTACCTGAAAGTTAGAGCTCGTTTTGTTTGTAACATGGCAAAGTCCACCATTTTGATTCTACAACTGACATGCATGTGTTACCATTGTAGCTGTGTTACGTGCAAGAGCTTGCACAGACATACCTGCACGAGCATCGATCGTGATTTTGTGCATACTGCCTAGTTGGTCCAGCGGTCTAAACTGTGTTCTATTATTGCGCCTTTTGCTACACTACATGTATCGCTCCAGTAATAGTGGTGGTTCTGTGCCGAGGGTTTACACGATCAACCTGTTGAGTGTCCTCAATGTCAACTACCTATAGGGTAGCACCCAACGCCATCCTATTATGCATTACATCAGTGCGTCATTTCCTCCCCACCCCTTCAGGCAATGGGAGCCACAGAACTGACTCTGGAAGGTGTTTCGGGTGTTGGGTCAGAGCTGGAGAGAATCCATATTGCTGAAAAGAACAAGGCCATGGCTGCCAAGTTGAAGGTGAAGCATATGATTTGTAGACTGTGTCCCCTGGCCCTGGCAGGTGCATTTGTGTGTTTGTCATTGCATGCATATTATGGTGTGGTGTACACACTTACCTAAAAGCTACTTGTAACCCTTGGCGCGCATGTGCAGCGAGGGTTACTGTAGTTGTCATGTGTGTCTGTCTGTCAGTCCGCGAGCCATCTCACTTCACGAGCCATCAATCACTCCACAAACAATAGCATGTATTCAGCATCGGATAAAGGTCGAGAATACGTGGGATTTTCTCTGAAACTTCTGCGTTCGGGAGTTACGGCATGAAACACGAGAGAGAAAGCCAATATGCTAATAGAACAGTCTATGTACCTCGAGCGGCTCTGCTTGCTCTGTGTATCTCAGAGGCAGGCCGTGGAGCTCCGGATGAATTAGGTCTGCCTTACAGGAGTCATCAAACAAACACTCACGAAGATATTTTAGGTGTTCAGTAGGGTGAACTGCCTGCCAATTGATGTATGAACTAGGTCTTAGGGAGTCCGTGGTTGATACAGAAAGTTGGTAGTTGGTTCATCACCAAAGTCGTGGATGACAACAGACTGAGAAAGAAGACGAGTTGGAGAACTTTGACAGGGATAGAGAGAGGTGGGAGACTATAGGGAGGCAGGACGGGAGGCAAGACTAGTCTAGAGATCAACACAACAGCTTCATTTATTTTCCAAAGGGAGAAAGCATGTTGACGTCATGATAACCCACCGGCCCCTAACTGTGGGAGTCCAGTAGTGCTACCGCGCATATGCAGTTGCCGAGGGTTTGCACTTTAGTGCTTTTTCATTCACGCCTGCAACTGTTTCCACTCTAAGTGGTACCTTCTGTAGCCTGTATAGTTCTGGCCAGTTTTAATATTGTTGTCTTACTGTGCAGTCACTTACATCAGAGCTGGCAACAACTCGTGATGACAGCAAACAGAGCCATCGGGATGCTCTACACGTTGAGAATCTAAAACAGGGCCGGGACAAGTACAAGACTCTGCGGCAGATTCGCCAAGGCAACACCAAGCAACGTGTGGAGATGTTTGAGAACATGTAAACCCACCAGCCATTTTTAGTGTAAAGGTTCGTTACAACAAAGTACATTATTCATATTTAAGTGCTGCATGCAGGATATGTAAATAGATCCAGAAGAAAGAAAGTTAGATAGAGAATACTGTAGGTTGACTGGCAATGTACAGATATCTTTCAGCTGTTTTTACTTCTTTGTAGGTGCTACTGCTGTGTAAAGACAATAAGGTAGCTTTTCTGCATTTTGTTTTTAGCATTATAGACACTTAAGCCTGTATATATACATGATTGTGATTGTGTCATGAAACTCTTAAAGTCCTTTTTATGTGTAAATCTGTTTTTTATACAACTACATGAAGTTGATGGACATACACCTTCAGCCATTTTTGTTTCGTCGCATATTGACTATTTACATTGTCGCAATCTGCTCTGAGTATCGCATTCCACAACTTGAAAGCTTAAGGTGTTCAAGAAGTCTTCAAAAGCCACCTCGTGAACCAGGAAAATAGGAGTACGTTTGTGTGTCAGTCGCCAAGTTTGTGGAATGTGTGCACGACATACAGTATATAGCTAGTTTGTCACAACCTATGGTGAAGTGCAGGGAGCATTATCACTAAGTACGGTAGTTTAGGGATGACTCAAGTTAATGCCCATACATTTGGATTTGTACATCTCACTTTCAGTTTGAATCATATCCCACTTCTAATGTACGTATGTTCCATATGGTCAAAGCATTACCTAAGAAGTGGCTTAAATCGGGTAATCGGTTATTGTTATTCAAGAAAGTTCATTTTCAAATTATTGTTTTTGTTCACAACAAGCGTATCTCAAAAAACCTGGTAAGATATAGAGATTAAACTTTGCACAAACATTGAAATTTTGTAAAAACGTTCACACAAAAAACAACACAAAGTAGTCCTACAGGACACACGTAATGATATAGACGAAAAAAGTGTGTTAACTAGTCAATGCCAAAATACCCAGCATGAAAAACACCTTGTATATGGTAACTTGTTTATGCTCAGTCCATTTAAACTTGGTACATATTATTTTGCTACGTGAAAAACGACAAACAGTGTGAGGCAATAAAAACATAGCCCCTTAATGCTACTTTTTATAGGGGCATCATGCCCCAAATTATATTGCACATCATGCATGTGAATACAGTACAAAAAAATATTGTGATGGGAAGAAGAGAAGTAAGACAGGGAATGACGTAGTGTATGTGATGCAGTAGTATAATGGATGAGTTCGCTCATGTACATTTTCCTTCACACAAGCCCTATATTGTCGCAAAGCATGTCTCAACAACTTAGTAGTGAGGAAGGCAAACAAGTCAACTACACCCAGGACAGCTCTTTCTTTTCGAAAGAAGAAGAATTGCCCAGGGTGGGATTCGAACACGACACTCTGTAGTCTAGGCGAGGGCTCTACCAACTGAGCCACCAGGACAACTCAGCTGGTAGGGCTTCGAATTTACAACACAGAGGCACACCTCAAACCACTGCTATACTCTCAGGCTTATTAAACCACCAGACGTCCAACTCTAAACCAAGTATAAGCATGTCTGAACAACTTGGTATCGAGGTAAAGGCAAGGCAAGTCAACTACACCAGGAGTGTGCTCCTCATAGAATGACTCATTTCCTAAGCAAGCAAAGCACAGGTGGTGCCCTCTCTGACAGCTCCTCACTTTTGGGTTGTGACTGCATTGTCTGCAATCCCTTCACCGTTGTCCTCACATAATAATATCACCAATTTTTTTCACTGTTCAGTGGATCCCCTGAGGTGCTGCAGTTTGCTTTCTTCTAAAAATCTGAGATTACTAGGGATGTGTGAAAGGCATGGAAAACGTTACATGCTGTTGAGTGGTTGAATTGATGAAAGCCGAGCTCTTCCATTCGTAAGCATATAGAGGTACTCCCACTTCACTCTCCTGTTTCACAAACAGAAAGCGAGATCACAAGCACATCTTTTCAACTCTGTCTCTCACTACAAGGGTTGCTGATACCAGCCCTACACCAGCACCATCACATAGATTCGATGTCCGAGGATCGGCAGATGACTGGGGGAAAACTGGCAAAGCGTAGGGGACTACATCGGAGGCCTCCTGTTCCTTTCCTTGTTGCGGTCAACAATTCAATGCATCCACTGCCGGGCTCGACTTGCTTCTTTGCCCCCCCCTGCAAAATTCCTGTAAACCTGCTGGTGTCTATGAATTCATGATCTCTCACATGTTGACTCCCACCAGTAATATTATTATCAATTTTATGCATTACTCGCTTGTATTATGTGTTGCTCGTGCATGACTTGTCATGGATTCCAATCTCTGTGCAAAGTTTCATCCCCATAATACCTGGTTTTTGAGATAACGCTTGTCGAAACTGAACAACAAGTAGAAGAATTTTGATTAACGACATTATTCTCCTTTTTTCTTGAACTCGCATAACTCAAGAACAAAATAATATACAGTAATGAAATTTTGGAAGAATGTATATATCCATCACCTGAAGGGACTGGTCATATTTGTTTGTAAATAACATTGTTTACTGTAAACAACAACAAATAGCCCAAGGTCACATGTGTCAGTGTAAGTAACAATGGTAAGAGCTCTGTGAACAAAACTTTGTGTACATACTTAATCACTAACATCAAAATACATGTTTGTAAACAATAGAAAATAGCCCGAGGCATTTTTCATTAAATTCACTTCTCAATAGCACATACGTATAGAGATGAAACGTGGTACTCATATTACATCATTTCCATGAAAACTACACTGTTTCCATGACGACTACAAATTGTTTGAATGTCTCAGGCACTTTTTGCTAACGAGAGCATGCATGGAGATGAAATTTGGTACGCATGCGTATTACATCATTTCCATGACAACTACATGTTTCCATGGCAACGACATTGAACAACAACAAATTCCCTTATTACTTCTTCACTGCTCAAATTTGTTAATGGGAGATTAAAGTCTGGAATTACACTCTCCCGCTTCTCACTGAACAATGACACTCTCTCACTTCCCACTGCACCTTTGCCGATCATACATGTATCCCCCTACCCTTCCCCCCACCACCTTCCCAATAAGGGTTTTAACCGTTTTGCTTTTTTTTGCGGGTACGTGAATGAATGAAATTACTAACTGACCATCCTTAATAATTTCAGTCAAGTTAAAGTGAAGTGGAAGAGGAGGGGGTGGAGAAAACCCTGGAAAGATTGAAAGAAAGATACTACTGGCCCGGCCATCATACAGATATCAGCGATTGGTGCTGAAATTTCCCCACGTGTGCCTCAAGATAAAACCCAACCCCAAAGCAAAGGGCGCAGCTTCAAAGCATTAAACCAAGTTACCCTCTCCAGATTGTTGCTGTCGACATTCCCTGAATCAGAAGACGGAAATAAATACATCCTTGTTGCCTGTGAATACGTCACTCGTTGGGTCGAGGCATATGCTATAAAATACCTCGCTCAGAAACTACAGATGAGTTCTTTTTCCGGTTCGGTTTACCAGAGCAACTGCACCCAGACCAAAGACGGAATTCGAATCCGATATCATGAAAGAAATGTGCACAATTCTGGAAATCAAAAAATCTCGAACGACTCCTTTGGTTGAACGTATGAACAGAACCTTTCTGGATATGCTGTCTGTTAAAGACAAACCAACATGCTGGGACAGTCACCTCAGACACCTCTGTATTGCAAGCAATACCAGTATCTAGCCAACAACAGGTTTCACCCCCGTTCTACCTCATGTATATATGGCCGCCAAGCGAAAATGCCTCTGGAAGTTATGTATGGCTCACCACAATTGACACAATCACACTATTCAGCACAATTGAAGCAGAGCCTGGAGGACGCATATACCCAAGTCAGGGAGAGAATGGGATTCCAGTTGGACAGACATAAGAAGCAGTATGATGAGAAAGTCCATGGTAAACCGTTTGAGCGTGGAGACAGAGTGTGGCTCCACTGCACGGCAGCAGTCGCAGGAAACTGCACACCCCATGGAAAGGGCCGTTCTGGTCTTCACCAAACTCTCCGAGGTCAACTACCGAATTCAAAACATCAGGAAACGCTGCAGAAAAATGATCGTTCACTTCAACCAACTTAAGCACTACCCCAGCACAATGCGACCGACAGCAGCACCCAGACCAGACAGACGACCCTGCATGCCTGCAGAAAGACCTGCTGCATTGGGTACAAACTTGGAGTTGATCCCCCCACATTCCAACCTGGAAGGAGGAAATTCAGGGCCCTGCGAGTATCCTAGTTTCCTGGGACTGTGAACAAACGAATGAACACAGCGATAGGAGACAACAAACAAGTGGCAACTGCACTCAGAGCCATCAGTCGTCGGCGGCCCAAACTACTGCAAATGCCTCACACTCACGACGGTACCTTCTCCGCACCCTAATTATTATCACGACGAGATGTGAATCCGAGACGTATTCCTTGAGGAAGGAGAGCCATGTGACATGTGGGAATATCAGACAAGCAGGCACCACACACTTATTGTCTAACCATTACTTGTGTCATTGCAACTATATAGAAACATCTCCACAATCACATGTATTTATGTTCTCGCCTCCCTCACCTCCATATAAGCCACCATGAACAACTGTAAAACGTTGTGGCACTGTTACTCTGATCTTTACCTTTAGCTACGCCCTCTCGTCGCAAGCTGGAAGGTTGGCAAATGGCCGCTCTACACGGGCATGTGAATGAACCAAATTACGAACCAACAATCCCTAATAATTTTACTACAGAGTGTGGAATGACACTCTCTTACTTCTCACTGCACCTTTGCCTATCATACATGTGTCCTCCTACCCTTTCCCACACCTTCCAGTAAGGGTTTTAATGGTTTTGCATTTTTTGCTGGCACGTGAATAAACGAAATTACTAACCAACCATCCATTCCAATAAGGCTTGTAACAGTTTGCATTCTTTGCGGCACGTGGATGAACAAAATTACGAACCAACCATCCCTAATGATTTTACTATAAGGTATATAATCTTAAAATAATCACGTACGACTCTAACACGTATCACAGAGTGGCACAGACAATAGCTGTTCCACTTTGTCAATGCCTGTTCGTCCCTCCAAGGAACACTATGTCAGAGAATTGAATTATCTTTTCAGGTAAAAATGTTGTGCACGTGTCTGCTCTACACAACTGATACACAAAAGTGTGTATAATTATTGACTCAGTCCTTACAGCTTTGAGATTGTAAAATATCTTCAGTTGGTAGTGGTTTAGGTGACTGCTCATATCTGTACTTCTGCCTCAAACTAGATATAGGAGAAACTATACCCCTGTTGTTCTGTATTCACATAAACACTTCGGGAACTAAAGCAGCAATAACATCTGTTGTCCAAACCTTGCTGCCAAATTTTGCATTTAGGTGAATGGTGCAAACAAGTGCAGTCAATAAGGTTCCTAAGATTTTGCTGGTTGAACAGCGAATGAAGAGTACTTAGTGCTTGCATTATT